ATTTATACTGTCTTTTTACGCATTGCGTTGCATCGTGCCGCGTAAACATAAAACCATGTCTGCAACAAACAACAAGCGCTACTCTACACTGCTCAAAACTCACGTTTTAATCATCAGTGGCAAATCCTTTAAATACGAAAACGTACTTACAGACTGCGAGTCAGCATTGAAGGCTACTCTCCCAGAGAGTGACGAGACAAAAACATTAAAACCCATTATAAACTAGGCATTTGTTGCATCCAGTGGGGACGTAATTACGGATTAAAATGACTTATACTGTCTTTTTACGCATTGCGTTGCATCGCGCCGCGTAAACATAAAACCATGTCTGCAACAAACAACAAGCGCTACTCTACACTGCTCAAAACTCACGTTTTAATCATCAGTGGCAAATCCTTTAAATATGAAAACGTACTTACAGACTGCGAGTCAGCATTATTTGTCAGCATCATAGACTGTGGTCAGCATGCACGCCGAAGTGGAAACAGGGGAACTGAATTCACCGGAACACCGGCATTGAAGGCTACTCTCCCAGAAAACAGTCCTCGTCCTCCGTAAAATTAGTTGCACATATCTGAATATTTGGTTTTGAACTGTTGTAAATACAATTTCTAGTTGTGTCCTCTTTTGGAAGACCAAACAAAGTAGTTTCGCTTTCATAACGAAACACACAGCGTCTCCACAACATGGCGGCAGCGGCAACAACAATACTACAGCAAGAATCAAAGTTACGCCTTCTTTCTTTGCGTGAACATTTGGGCGGTGTTATGCAAATCTTCCCACACAGTGACTTAGACATGTGGGGGCGTGTTTAAACGAGGAGTTTAGGAGGGCGTGGATGAGTTTAAACTTTTATAAAGAATATCTCTTTGGATTTGAGACTTTAGTCTTTGCAACTTTAGGGATCTTATCTATTCACGAACAGCTTGTAACACTCCAAAGTGAAAGGAAAACTTGAAATCGCATCATATGACCCCTTTAACAGCTGTCAACCATGCGGGTATGCAAATGAGCGGTCTGAACTTATTTACATAGCGCGATTTTTATTTTAGTTGTGCATGCGCACCACTTATGTGCACCCCTGTTTATAAAGCTGGTTTATGACACAGAAACTAGATAGTAGAAGAGGGTACAACTATATGAAATGCTTTTTAAGTTCATAATTCATATTCAAGACACGCAGTATGTGTTTTGGGAGTGTGAGTGTGTCATACAGCAAAACAGGCAGTTTCTCCAGGGATGATGAGCTGGATGTGTCCAGAAACGGCATTCTCACTGACGCCCGACTCCATCCAGATCTGACCCAACTCATTACATGCCTATGAGAGAGAAACAAACATGTATGTAATTGCTAAACTGCAGTGACTATGTGTGAAAACCACTCTAAAAAAAAGATTAAAAATATATGGATATATATTCAAACTAATTCTTACAGTTTAATGCCAAAAACTCACTGTATTAATGGCCATCCGAGCCTCAAAGTTATCAACACAGCTGAGGACCAAATCTACAGGCTTCCCCTCCTCAAGTCCTCCGTGACTGAAAACACAAAAGCAAGTTTGTTTATTACAGCCAAATTGAAAATGAGATGGAAAACTTGAGCTTACTGTGGCAGTAAAAAAAAAAAAATCACCTAATGCGGTCCATGAAATGTGTGAAGTTGTCTATTGTGGTGATGTTGTAATTGTGGGTCTCAAAAGCAACAAATCACAATGCACTGGGTCAGCTGGCCAATCAGAGCAGACTGCGCTTGTCAAAGGAGGGGGCTTTGTAGAAAACGAAGCGTTTGAGAGAGGCGGGGCTTAGAGGACCTACAATAATGTACAGTATTTGAAAAATAATGTGTTTTTTGAACATTAAATCATGTCAACATATTCTGTTACACCAAATACACAAAATAATGATCTTTTAAAAAAGCATCATATGACCCCTTTAATATTTTGAAACTTTATGAACAGAAAGTTAAAAAAATTTATTTGAATCTCATATATTTGAATTTTTGAAACACTATAAATGTCTTGACTGTAACCTCCAGCTTACCTAAGAGTGTGTTCTGCAGCCTCAACTTTACTGAGCCCTGCCTGATGTGGCTGGAAGAAGAGGCGGTTCATGTTGGCCAGCTCCACCTTATCATAGTCAAACAGCAGCAACTGCGGGGAAGAAAGCCAGACACAGCAAAAAGAGGCATGCCAGTCTGTTACTGCAGAGCCCAGGCATGTCTCTGGGTGTTATGCTATTGGCTTCCCTCCTGTACTCCCACTTGCAACACACACTACAAGAATAATGGGGCTTGAAGAATGCACCAATTTGAACTGAAAAACATTAAGGCGGCACACCATAGACCGGCCAGTCAGTGCATCCTTCCATTTGATTCATGCATCCTATATATTAGATCTATAGGAATGAGGATAAAGGTGCATTACCTTACCAATGCCACATCTGGTGAGCATTTCTGCAGTGACACTCCCCACACCTCCAACTCCCACCACTGCCACAGCATACGAGCGGATTTTCTGAGAATAACAGCAGATGATAGTGGTCATCTGAACACGAGCAAGCAGTTATCAATATAAAAGTCTCATAAAATAATAAATACACATGTTTACCTCGTAGTCTTGAACTATGCCCATCCTTTTGAGTGCCATTAGACGACTGTGAGATATTAAACACTAAATTAAAGTGACTATCGCACCGGGTTTAGCCTTCCATCATATGTTCAGTGATAATAAATAAACAGCAGCATCAAATTGCTCACCTGTATGGATTTGAGTCTACGACTTCAGCACTCATTTTAACAATCTTTGGTCTGAGATGATGTTCAGCATCACTTTGCTTCTGTTTAGATTTAATTAGTTCATTTTCTAACTCACGGATTCGCAGCTTCAGTTCCTCAACGGTTGCCATTTTTTCCTTAAAAATCCTGTATTATAATAAACAAGAGTTGATATGATCCGATGAGAAAAATAAAGCACGCCAACGGTTAAAATGAATGTACACGTCCGCACTGTTAGAAATCAGCTGGCGTCTATGAGTGTGTCTAGATATTGAGCCCGGAGTGAAACACAAAGTTCACAGAAACGAAAGTTCCCTCAATGAATGATTCCCGCTAATCGGTTCGTTCTTTTAATTGAACTGGTTAAAAAAAAAAAAATTAACTCACCACTTGTAAACACATGCTACTGTTTATTGCGTTTAGTTCGACCATTTCCCAAGTTGAATTTGTTAGAGCCATGACTCATTGCCGTTTAGAGCCTAAATACAATTTATATTTAACAATACTACAATTTATTTACAATACTGAGTATTTTTGCATGTGAACAAATTAGTTGTGTGAGCCGGTTAAATCAATGAATTGAAAAGACTCGAGTCAGAAG